ATATGAATATATAAAACTTTTACGTAAAACTTAATCTTAAAAATTATGTAATTACAAAATATAGAGTAACTCATTTAAAAGTGATGTGTTGTAAGTAGATAAGTAGATTAGTATATTAATGCAATAAGTACAGTAATGTAACAAGTAGAGAACTGTAGAGTAATGTAAGTAGACGTTAATGTAACGTAATCTTACTCCTGTACGAATCTTTTGTCTTTAAATTAATGTTTACTTAATTAAAAATTGTTGTCACCTGTTTCACAGTTATTTCCAGAATATCCTGATATACAACCACAACGATAACTTCCCTGAAGATTGACACAGGTAGCTCCGTCCTAATTGTAATTAGGACTGGTAAAAATCCATATACGCCCGCGTAGAGTGAGGCTCTGTGAGAGTAATGTCTTGCCCAAGAACAGAGCGCAGTGTTCCCGGCCAGGGCTCGAACCCGGACTGCTCAATCTGGAGGCGAGCGCACTAATCATGAGGCCACCGCGCTTCTTACAGTAACAGTAAGATGGCTAACAGTAAGCAATCTAAACGTCACAACGTCTAGTGACTACAATGTCTAGTGACTTAATCGTGAGACAAACGTAATCTTCATTATTAACTTTAATTTCTTTCTTTCTTGCGAATTCACGTCAAAAATAATGCATTTTCTAGAATTGAAATGAGCAAAAAAGCTCATATGATGCGTGACACTATGACGATAAACTAAATATGAGCCTGAAGGCTATTTTAGGTGTCAAATAGTAGCTGGCTTGCTAAACGTTTCGGACTTAGCCCTTGTTTAGTAGATGAAAATAAGAGAGCCGAATTGCATTCGTTTAAGTTAACAAAAAGTGCTTATGTGGTAATTTTGGAGACGTTTCAGGAAAAGCCCCTTCACCAGTCGCAAATGAAGCGTTAAAACCTGTACGCGTAAGCAAATGCACGCACGTATACGTGGCACGCGCGGAAAGCGCGCCCACCAAGTACAAAGTAAACAAAGGCGTGCTTCAAAGTGCTGCAACATTTGAAAACCATTGTTTTAGCACGCGTATGTGTAACACGCAATGAAAACACAGTCACAAGAATAAAAGTTAGTTTTTAATTAATCCATTTGGTCTAGGCGTGTCCGGCTTAACGATTAAATTCATTTCATTTTGCTTGCGCTGATGTTGCCACCACTGCATTGCTTTAAGTCACAGACCATGATATCATCCAGAGAGTGGGAGACGGAGTTGGAATTTTCAGCCACGAGAAAACCACGAGATCGGTTTTGAATACTGCGGAGGTGTCAGCATTCGAAACCGATCTCGTGGTTTCTTTTGTGGCGTGGCTTGCTCATTTTATCTACTGAAGAAGGGCTAAGTCCGAACTTTTAGCAAACCAGCTACTATTTGACACTTTAAAGAAACTTCAGCCTCATATTTAAGACCTTTTCTAACCTATTTGGCAGTTACTTCCACTATACCCGGATGTACAATCGCAGCGATACTTTCCTTGAAGTTCTACACAGTTAGCTCCGTTCTTACATGGATTCGTCGCACATCCTACAATATGGGGCAAAAAGGCTGCTATATAATACTTATTTGGAAATAGCGATTATAACGAGTTCTTCTGGTTGCTGAACCTCCCTGTTTGGGGGGGGGGTACTCTTGTATATAAGCTATATGGCTATATGTGGCTGTGAAGAGTTTGGTTTTCAGGCAGTTTAGTCCGGGATAGGTCATGGAAATCAGACAGTTTTGGTCAAACGTGATCAGTGTATAAACAATCTATGCAGAATAGGGGTTCTATAATAGAAATTGAAACTCAGAAGTGACTTTCAAATATATTGGTTAAGGTAGCTATAAAATGTTTAAGCAAGCAACCGGAACGATGATCCTGCTGGTATACGTTGGATCAATAGTGATCTAATCGGCTTTGTTGGAATACGGCGATAGCCAAGGAAACAAAATAAAAAAATGACCGGTGGAAGATTCAAAGCAAATAGACTTACGCTATACTGGCGTTTACTTTTGCTTTCCCTTACGGACTTCAGCCGGGGACTTAATCCATCATTATTATAGGGAGCTTAAGCAAACCACGACGACGAACGTCACCAAACAAAATATTTAATGAGCGGCAAAACAATAGCTTGCACGTGCGTCATAAATCTTTGTACATTTCTTTGCCGTTCTCTGCAAAAGAAGAACGCGAAATGACCAAGTTCTGCGTAGTCTGAGGAAGGCAAACGACGACGGTTATATTTTCGTTTTTCCATTTGGAATTGAACGCTGTCGTTTCATATTTAGCCTGAGCGCGTTTTTAGAGCCACTGGCGTACTGAACAGACCTAGACAACTGCGAATTTCGCTGGTAAAATATAAACTCATTTTTGACTAAGCGTGGTCCTAGGCGTCGCCGTTGTCGTTGCTTAAGCTCCTTAATAAGTTAAGTGTGATAACTAAAACTAATTTTAAAGTAACTGTAAAAGCTAAATTTTTTTTAATTTTCAACTAACTACGCAACATTCTTTCAAAGCCTGATCAGTCCAAAAAAGATCTTCATTGACCCATGTTACTTTCAGTTAAAATGTATTAGAAAAATATTGGAACTCAAACTCACTTTGATACATTTAACAGCATTGAACCTTCTCAATGCAGCAGAGCTTGTTGCAAGTTCCCTTGAAGAATGCTTTCATGTAATATCCAGGATCACAGCTACTCAGACCCTTATTATCAAACGAGATTGTGATGTCTTTGGTTACACATCTTTTGTAAGAGCTGGGGAGTCCGGAAGGCTTGCAGCATTTCCCCTCTTCCATGTTGTAGAGCCAATGATCTGAGGTGCGATACATTCCTTGCAGGAAATAACCTCCTGGACACGCCGCCCAACGGTTTGACCTTTATAAGAAAACAAACGAAATGAATAGGCTATCATATGAGTTTTTTCACTACCTCTGTGTGAAACTGAGTCTTCGCGCGCGAAAATCATGCATATGAAAATGTGCTTCACCAACACGTTCATTGTCACGTACATCAGGCTCATTTGCATATGAAACGTTCAATACGGACTCGTTTTGAAACAGAGGTACACGTGAACTCGGAAATGGTCAGTCACATCAGCCACTGTAGTCATTATTATGCTATGTTCTCTCTGATTTCAAGGTGTGTATAGAGAGCGATTGCATGGTTGCACTTCAGGGAATTCGCTTCAAGCATTTCATTTGTCGCAAAAAAGTGAAAAGGTGAATGAAAAGGAATACGGCCAAGGAAAATAAAATAAAGGCTGTACTATGAAAAAGTTGGGGTAAAGAAATTATTTTTTTGACAGCTAAGTAATTAATCACTCTAGTTTCCTCCCCCTCAAAAATAAGGGACGGTAAAATCGGTTGTAGTATATAACTAGAAATATAATACGCTAAATTTCGATTATGTTCGAAATTACTAAATTGATTCAACCTTGACCAGGCATTAAAACAAATTAAAGAACTCAAAGGAGATAAGTTTTAATACTTACTGAGCGAGCGTGCTCCACCAATTGGCATTAATGCAATGGGATGGGCTGTTCAGATAAGGTGCAATAGCCTTGGCCTCCTCCAGTAAGTAAATCTTATCATTACCACCCCCGTTGTTATTGCGTTAAAATCCTGTGATGTATTCTTTACTTGAGGAACCACAGGTTTGCCAGCCCTTCATGTCAAACGTTGCCCACCAGTTCGCCATTCTACACTGACTACAGCACAGATCCACCGTCAGGGAAAAAAGCAACAAGGACACCAGTAACTTCATCTTTGCCGCTGATGGTCTATCGTCAACGTTTTGGCCAAATACTTAGCTCTGGCGCATTGGAAAAATATATTGTTAAAAACGATAACAAAACACCGTTCTCAAATGCCTCTTTTAAATTTCAGGATCACCCTGACTTAAGCAAAGATTCAGTAACGTTCCACACCCGATCACCTGGCCGAGTTGAAATCTTTTGTGTAGGGTATAAGTCATGCCGAAACACATCTTTTAAAAGTTACATCGTCGTATTTATGTTATATTTTTCAAATTATAATCAGTTATACTTCTGCTAAAAAGAAGAGATCAAATCCTAACTTGTATTTAGTCTTTTTTTCCAACAGTTTTGTTATACCGCAACATTTTACGTAGGCCATTAAAAACTAAGAGGAGAGAAAGAAATTTTCACTTAGTTCCTCTGAATTGCAAATAATAGCTAGAGAACTACTATTTTGCCTTCACAGAAACAGTGGGTCGGATCAAGCTGCTATTTCATGTAAAAATCTGACTTCTTTTACGCTACAGCATACCTTTCGCTCTTTCGGATGTTCTAGCTAGAATCCGTGAGCCAATGTTGCTTCTGGCTTCCCACAGTTGGATATGAAGTTGTTTAACAAAAACCACGGTTGTTGCCATACGTCTTATTTACTTATTTAAATTTCCAATCACCTTTGATGAGCAGCTAGGCAAGTACAACAATAATTAAATTAATTAAACAATTATGTAGCTCAGGTGAACCTGAGTCGAAACCTTTGAAGTTTAAATCCTCTCCCCCATTTTGTATACAAATTCTCTTTCCTTAATCTCTCGTTTGGTAGATGGGGTAATTGATCCTAATATTTATCGGTAGTGTTTAAATTATATGTCTTTCCTACTATGGCTTTATTAGCAACTTGTTCCTTTGCCATTAGGCCGGTACTATAAATGACTCTTTTAATTCCTAAGCGGCGATCCTTTATAAACGGCTAAGACTTTTAGTGGAAATTGTCTTCCCAAAAGCGGTTTTTTCAGCCGATA